CCCCCCCGGGATTGGGGTCCCCCCGGTATTGGGGTTCCCCCCTGTATTGGGGCCCCCTCATATTGGGGTCCCCCCCGGGATGGGGATCCCCCCTGGGATTGGGGTTCCCCCCCATATTGGTGTCCCCCCCGGGGTTGGGGTTCCCCCTTGGGATTGGGATCCCCCCTGGGATTGGGGTTCCCCCCCGTATTGGTGTCCCCCCCGGGATTGGGGTTCCCCCTTGGGATTGGGATCCCCCCTGGGATTGGGGTTCCCCCCCCATTAGGGTCCCCCCTGGGATTGGTGTCCCCCCCAGTATTGGGGTTTGCCCCTGGGATTGGGGTCCCCCCCAGAATTGGGGTCCCCCCCGGGATTGGGGTCCCCCCTGGGATTGGGGTTCCCCCAGTATTGGGGTTCCCCCCTGTATTGGGGCCCCCTCGTATTGGGGTCCCCCCTTGGATTGGGGTTGCCCCCCCATTGGGGTCCCCCCTGGGATTGGTGTCCCCCCCGGGATTGGGGTCCCCCCCTGGGATTGGGGTTCCCCCCTGTATTGGGGCCCCCTCGTATTGGGGTCCCCCCTGGGATTGGGGTTGCCCCCCCATTGGGGTCCCCCCCGGGATTGGGGTCCCCCCCTGGGATTGGGGTTCTGCCCCGTATTGGTGTCCCCCCTGGGATTGGTGTGTCCCCCTGGTATTGGGGTTCCCCCCTGGGATTGGGGTTCCCCCCTGGGATTGGGGTCCCCCCCGGGTTTGGGGTCCCCCCCAGTATTGGGGTTCCCCCTCGTATTGGGGTCCCCCTCGTATTGGAGTTCCCCCCTGGGATTGGGGTCCCCCCCGGGATTGGGATCCCCCCTGGGATTGGGCTTCCCCCCCATATTGGTGTCCGCCCCGGGATTGGGGTTCCCCCCTGGGATTGGGGTCCCCCCCGGGATTGGGATCCCCCCTGGGATTGGGCTTCCCCCCCATATTGGTGTCCCCCCCGGGATTGGGGTTCCCTGCTGGGATTGGGGTCCCCCCCCGGTATTGGGGTCCCCCCCCAGCTGACCTCTCCTGCTTTGCCTGGCAGGAATTTCTTGCGCGAGGTTCTGTTTGCTGGCGGCGCCGAGAGTCCTTACGCCAAGGCGATGAGGGGACGGGTCACCCTGTCCCAGGTGAGCCCTCGCGTACCGGCCCCGGAGCATCGCCGGCGCCTCGGGTGCC